CCAAACCAGTTCGCCTCCATTCAAACTGCTCCCCTTCTGTAGCATGACCACGCTTCCTCGCCTGAGGCCCCGCCTCCTGTAGGCCACTCCGCACCCACCAAGTCTCTGCCACTGGTCTCACCTAGGTGACCTGGCAGCGGGGAGTGGGGTCTCGGCAGCGTGGGCGAAGTGCTGGTCAGGATGAGGCTTTTCCGGTTACTGGTGCGGCAGCTGCGGGGAAGGCAAGGCAGGGGGGCCGGGCCGGGCCGCAGCCCAGTGAGTTCTTGTGCCCCACCAGCTGACCTCCCGTCTCAGATCCCCGCCTATCTCCCATCCATGTGTGTTTGGAGGCTCCCTGGGAGGGTTTCTCGAAGGAAAACGTGGTGGAGGCTTCGGCAGGACTGTGTATGGCAGGGGATTTGCATGTGACATGTGTGTGAGAAACTCCCAGTGTTGATTATGTGTACGGCAGTGTCTGTCATGGTGTGATAGTCACTGTGTCTAGGTGACACTATTGGTGATAGTGTGTTTCGGTCTATGCGTGACATTCACTGTAGGTATCCACATGTGGCATCCACTGTATGAATTCCACAATGTGTGACCCTGAACGCATTCTAGTGTGATATGTGTGACACAACGTGGGTTTATCTTGTGTGACACAATTTGAGCATTTCTGTGTCTATGTGACACAGTGTGAAATGCCACTTGTCCATAACAATGTGTGCTGTAACACCGGGAGGCTGCATTTTTTTTTTTTTTCTTTTAAGTCAATGTCTCGCTCTGTCGCCCAGGATGGAGTTCAGTGTGCAGTGGCTCACTGCAGCCTCAAACTCCTGAGCTCAAGCTATCCTCCCGCTTCACCCTCCTGAGTAGCTGGGACTACAGGCGCCTGCCGCCATGCCTGGCCAGGATGCATGATCCCGCCTACATGTATCTATGTCTTTGTGTGGCATTCTGAGTCTGTGTCCGATACTGTCCTTCCGTCTGGGTGTGACATTCACCATGTGTGTCCATGTGTATGTAGCATCTATTGTGTGAATTTAACATCTTGTGACACTGGCCATGTCCAAACATATCACCACGTATGACATTCTCTAGGTGAGTATTGCATATGATAACGTGTGATTTTGCGTGGTTCTCTCTCTGTAAGATCCCTACATCTGTTTATGCTGATGTCAGTGTGACACAGTATGTGAGATTCCTAGATTTGACATCGTGTGTTGACATTGTTGGATGCATGGATGGGATATTGCCACACATGTGTGCATCTTGGATGACATAATTGTGTGTGTGGATCACCATGCAAGTGACATCTTACTAGGTGTACAGGACGTGGTGCCCCTGTGTGTCTGTGCATGGTTCTAACCTGTGGCAGCTGCAAGGCTAGGTATGTGTGGCACCTCCCAGTGTATCTGGGCCACTAGGGCTGTTGTGTGTGTATGTGTGTGTGACATCATGTCCTGTGTGACGCTGTGTGTCACTATTTTCAGTGTAAGGCTGTGTTCTGGGGGGGGTTGTGTTATGATAAATCCCCCCTTTTTTCTACCCCTCAGCATCCCAACTCCCGAAGAGGGAGCCCCAAGCCCCTCCGTCCGTCCCCTCACCCACAGCCGCAGTGACTGAGCATATTAGCGCGTCCAGGAGCACGCGGCATGGGGGTGGGGGGAGGCCAGGCTGCGGCTATTGTTCTGAGGGTGCCAAGCCCCCCAGCCTCCCCTTCTTCCTCTACCCCCACCAGGCTGTTGGAGCCCGCAGCTCCAGCAGACAAAGGCGCCACAAACCCCCAGTGGCGCAGCCCCCTCCCCCCGCGGCCGTCCTCTCCAGCGTGCAATCCCCCCAGACTCGGCCCACACCACCCCCATTCAACCCCATCCCCGGCGGGAAGGCGCAGCTCGGGCACCTCTGGCGCAGCTGTACCGGGCGCAGCATCCCGGGCCCCGCCCTGCAGCAGCACCCGGAGCGGAGGCTTTTGCGGGGAGGGCTGGGACAGTGTCTAGGGGATCGGGGGTCTACCTCTTGGTGCGGCGGAACATACTGCCGCCGGGGAAGGAGGGCATCGAGAAATTGGAAAGCGCGGTCCAGAGAGAGTCAGACATGACCCGGCGGCGGCGACATGGTGGCAGGTGCGGCAGCGGCGGCGGCGGCGGCGCGGGGAGCAAGCGCGCGGGGCGGAGGCTGGAGCCGCCGCAGCGGGCAGGGGAGGGCAGGGAAGGGGAGGGCCCTGCGGCTGCAGCTGGCCGGGAGGGGGCGCTGCTGTGTGCGGTCGAGCCATGCCCCGCCCACGCACGCGCCTGGCGCCCCCACCCCGGCGGGAGAAGGGGCGGCCAGCCCCCGCCACGTCTCTCCCCAAGGCTCACCTGCTGCTTTTCCGGGGCAGGGGCAAATCCTTCTGGAAGGCAAAGAAGCAAAGCGATGAAGGTCAGCGTGGACCTACCCTTGCTGCCCACAAGCATTCTCAGCTCCCTGGAGGAGCAGAAGCAGGGTAAGACAGGCCCCTCTTCAGCATTGTCACTTTCACCCTTGGCCATGCACTGTGGGCCAAGTTTCTTGGGGGAGAGGATCCCCGGGTGATTCCTCTCCTGACCCTCAGAGACCAACAGAGACCCAAGTACACAGGCGGGGTCCTGTATAAAGGCAAGTGAGTTGGCATCTCAGTGTGTGTTTGTGCAAATGAAATAGGAATCTTTATTTGAAAAATATGTCTTGAGCACTACTGTATGCTGACCCTATCCTAGGCACTAGGGACACAGCAGTGAATAAATTACAAGCCCGGTGTGGTGGTGTGCACCTCTGGTCCCAGCTGCTTGGGAGGTTGAGGCAGGAGAATCGCTTGAGTCCAGGGCAAAACCAGCCTGGGCAACACAGCAAGACTCTCTGTCTCAAGGAGAAAAAAAAAGTTTCTGGCCTTTTGGGACGAGTATTTGTAGGGTAAAGGGGACACTAAACAAGATTAGTGTAGAAGTGAACAAAATCATTTTAGACAGTAATTTGTCTTATGAATAAACAGGGTGATATGATGGACAATGGCTGGGATGGAGACACATTGTCAGAGAGGGCTGCTCTGTGGAGGTGACTTTTAAGCTGGTTGCTGAAAGATAAGAGCCAGTCATGGGAGGATCTGTGGAGAGAGAATTCCAGGTGGAGAGAACTGCAAGGGCAAAGGCCTGGAGGCGGGAATAAGCTTGGCATGCTCAATGAATGAATGAAAGGTTGAATGAATGAAAGGTTGAAAGAATGAATGACTCATCTACACCTCAACAGATCTATCTGACTCCCAGCTAGAGTCACAGAGTTGGGGTAGGGGGTGGGGGGTAGGTAAGTAGAGTGACTCACAACTGAGATTTAAAATGGGAACCAGGGAGGCTAAGGTGGGAGAATCACTTGAGCTCAGGAGGTCGAGATTATAGTGAACTGTGATTACACCACTGCTGGACTGAAACACGGTCTCAATTAAAACAAAAATAAAAACAAAAACAAAAACATAAAAAATTTAAAAAATAAAAAAATAAAAATGGAAATGCAGGTGATGGCCACGTAGTCATTTTTTATAATGACAATAATAATAATAATTAGTGGGTATTAACTTTATGTGTCTGCATTTGAAGAAGGTCGCCTTCCATTTGTCAAGCTCTCAGGAAGTCTCTGTAGGGATCAGGAGATATGGGGTCTTGGCCCTTTTCTGAGGAAAGGAATGGGGGACAAGGGGCGGCACCTTCCAGCCAGTTTTCTATCCACAGGGTGAGGTGGAAGGAAGAAAACTGAGTGGGGCTGCAGGTGGAAAGGTTTGGGGGAGAGTTTCAAAACCTCCAACAAGAGGAAAATGAGGGATGTTCTAGACTATTTGTAGGATCTCTAAAAGCAGAAAACCCTAGGTTCAAATCTCAATTTTGCCTTTTATGACCTTGGCAAATGACCTTCCAATACTCCCGTGTCTCCTTGAGGATTTTGTGAGTTGATGCAGATGCCTAGCCCCTTAACATGGTGCCTAACACATAGCAAATGCTCAATAAATACTAAGTTCGGAGAACAGGCGTTATTAAGGAGGGACATGCTGCATGACAGAGGATGGGCCAGAGGGTCGTCCCACCCCCTTGTACAATGGACAAACATATAAGCGGTGCCAAAGGGCAGCCCTGCCCTCCCGAGTCACGGGTGACCGGTAATCCAAACCAGGTTTTCCCTCTGTCTTTGCACGACCGGCCTGAATGAGCCGCAGCCAGGACCAGTTGACCTGGCTGCGAGTCTGCAATGGCCCAAGAGAAATCAAGACCTGGACTTTCTGGCCCAGAGCCCGGGGGGTCCAGACCCGGATAACCCAGCCTTGGAGGGTAAGCCCCTGGAGGGCTTTTAAGCACAACACGAAGAAAACCTTGAACCCAGCCCCATCCGCTAGCGCCCCCAAACATTCTAGGGACGAAGAAAGGGTCAAACTGGAGCGGCGAAAGTTCAGATCTTTGACGTCAGTGTAGATAGACGCCACCTCCAACCTCAGCTGCAGAGCCGCTCTGCCAAGTGGATTCCGCTTCTCCTGCACGGGATTAATAGTTGACACTGCAGACAGGACATTCGAACTCAGGATGCTGTCTATATATAAGATCCCAGGGCGTGGTGGCTCACGCCTCTAATTCCAGCACTTTGGGAGGCCGAGGCGGGCGGATCACCTGAGGTCAGAAGTTCAAAACCAGCCTGGCCAACATGGCAAAACTCGCTGTCTACTAAAAATACAAAACTAGACGGGCATGGTGGCGTGCGCCTGTAATCCCAGCTACTAGAGCCTAGCTGCACACAGGGGACCCTCGGGCGCTCAGCAGTGATGCGACAGTTCCTAAGAGGTTGCAGCAACGTGTGTGGGTGTATCCAGGCAACGAAGTGGTTAATCCCACCAGAAGGGAAGCGGTGGGGACAGGACTCCGACATGGGTCACCAGACCCAGAGCATGCCTCGGGTTGAGTGGGTGGGTGGATGAGTGGAAGCATCCCGCGTTGGGGGCGGTGTCTTGAGCGGGAGTCTAAAGTCCCGCGTGGCGATGAGCCAATGAGAGTTGACGCCGGCCCGGAGGGCGGGGACACACAGTGCAGGCCCCGCCTCTTTCCTCCCTTTTCTCGGAGACCCGACGGCGCGAACCCAGCCTGGCTGCTGCAGCACTTGCTCTAACTTTGCCGCAGCTGCCTCCCTTTTCCCGGAACCCACTCTCCTAACCCACCCCTAGGAGGGGGAGAGAATGTGGGGAGCACTTCAGAGAGGCCTAAGCTCCAGAGAGCGGGCCATCTGGGCTCTGAAAGCAAATTAGTTTTCCAACTCATGTCTGGCTCCAGCGTTATCCAGACGCCTGGAAGGTCCTTCCTGCAGTCTGATCACCATTTTTCCTGCTGCACTGACCGATCAGCTCCCCTTGGTCTTCAACCTCGGGAATGATGGATTAGGGGAGTCTAGAAATGGACGAAGCCCTAGGTGAGGGTTTGAATCCTGTTTTCCCAAGATTCAGGCTGGGGATGGAGCCTGAGTCTGGGCCGATTCTTGGCTTTATCTAAACTCCAGATTACCAAGCCTGGGGCTGAGCTCCAAGGAGGCTCAGAAGGGCCAGACCCCAGGCAGGGCCTTGGGGCACAGATATCATCACCTTCCTCTCTGGAATGTTTGGGACCGAACCTCTGTGTTAACCCTGAACTTCTCTACTAACCCCTCAGAAACGCAGCTGAAGACGAGCAGAGGACGCTTCTCGGCTACAGAATCCCTCCCCACCTTGGAGGTAGGAGCTCCCGACACCTGAGTTTGTCCCCACCTTCCCCACACTCCACAGCGATCCTCAGTGTCCCACTCCGTGCAGTGGACGCACGCCTCCTGCGCCTGCGCAGCCTCGAGACCAGCATCTTCTAAGGCTGCAAGGAGCTAAAAATCGCTCCCGCCCACCCACAAGCTGGGCTGGACTTGAGGATCGCGGTGGGGGGGCGGATGTTGTAGTGGAGGAGGTGGAATGAAGAGTGAGAAAGCTGTCTAGGTGCCTGTCCAATTAGGGCAGTAGGAAGAATCCTGGTGGCCAGGCAGGTGCGTGGGGGACGCAGGGCGTCCTATGCCTCGGGAGGGGGCTCCTGGGGTGGTGAGGGGCGAGGCTGCTGCACAAACATGTTTACGCCTCCAGCGGCGCCGATGGCCCTGAGGGGCACGAGCCCTAGGGCAATAACTTTGCTCTGCGCTCCCTCACCCCCAGCCTGGCGAGGCGCCAGGGCGATGACTTCGGCCCCAGCCCCCTCCCCCTAGGGCGGGCCAAGCGCCCATCAGGCGATCCTTGAGGGGGAGCGCTAGGCTGCACCCCTCCGGCGGCTCCCTGGATCGCCGGGCGGCGCCTGAGGGGCGGGGTCCCCAGCGCGGCGGGACGCGCGGCCACAGCGTTCCCTGCGGTTAGAGTCCCGAGCCCATGGGTGGGGGAGTCCCGGCCGACCCTGGTGCAAGTTCGCCCGCCTCCTGCCCGGCCCCGCCCCAGGGCGCTGACCCCTTCCTCTCCACCCGGGGCCCAGGCAGCCGCGTACCTGCAGCCTCCGGCGGCGGATGAGGCCCGAATCGTCCATGGCGGCAGCGGCGGCGACTTCGGCCCGGGGAGGGAGGAGGGAGGCAGCGGCGGCGGGAGGAGGGAAGAGGGAGGGAGTGAGAAGCCGCGGGGACCGCGGCGGCGGCGGCGGCGGCGGCGGCGGCTGGTTGGGGGGGGTGGAGGGGGCGGAGCGAAGTGGGGCGGGCCCGGCGCCGTCACTGCGTCTGGGCACCCGAGCCCGAGCTCAGCCACCGCTGCCCGCGCTGGGGGGGGGAAGGGGTGGGCGGGGAGGCGGAGCCTCCTGGTGCCCCCACGGGAGCCAAGCTGCCGAGAGACCCCTATAAAAAGACACACCCCAGGGGAGAGACATTCTCAGGGGTAGAACCCCCACTTAAGAAACACCCCAAAGGAAGCCTTCTCCCTGAGATACATTCCCCCCACATTCATCCCCCAGAGACCCCCTTGGTGAGACACATTTCCCGGGGGAGATAGTTTCCACATGGACACCCTCTCCAATCAAGAACTCCCCCAACCCTGAAAATCATTCCTAAGAGATATGGTCCCTGAGAGGTGACTTTCCTCTCAAAAGCCATCCCCCTCCCCACGGAAGAGGCATTCCCCAAAGAGAAAGATCCCAGGAGTAACAATTCCCGTCGAGACACTGGGGAGGATACCTCCAATCAGAGACCCCTAAAAGCCGTATCCTCTGTGGAAAACTGTCCCCACCCATGAGACCTCTACAGCCCCAGGGGAGATGTCATGCTTACAGAGAAACATTTTCACTGAGGAGACCCATCTTCACAGGAGAGGCAACCTCAGAAAAACATGTGCATGCATATTACGCCCCCCGCCCCCCGCAATCAGAGCCTCCTCAGGGAACCCTGCAGCCCCTCTAGCGACCCCTCCCTCATGGTCCGGATTAAGGAGCCAGGCCAGGCCGTCTGTATTTATAGGAGCGATTAGCTGGTAGTTGGAGAGGGGGGCAGTTAAAGCGCTTTTCAGCTCCCTCGACGCTCCTCCATGTTCACACAGGTGAGGCCAAATCCACCATGCTTCCCGAAGTTGGAGAGGAGGGTGTCCGAGTCCTCCGAACTCCAAGTCTTGGCACTGGGGGACAGAAGGGCTTCCCAAGGGGTGGTGGCCAGTATCTGGCCCCAAGGTCCGGGAGGGCGCGGTTGCTGGGTAAGAGCGACCCCTGCTGGACGACGGCGAGGCTGGGTCCGGGTTTTCCCCAGGAGCTTGTCGCCTCAAGTTCGCGCCTTTGCCTGGGTTATATCTGTCTGTCTCTCTATATGTTTGTCGGCATGTTTGTGTCACCGTCTCGCTGAGTCCCTTGCTCGCACATCTCTCCGTCCATGGCCCGGACTCCGCCCCTGGCGACCTAGCTCACGATGACGACCGCGGGAGCTCTCCTTGGTGCTGGTCTCGCGCGCTCCTGTCCACGGTGCTGAAATCCAAGCGCAGGGTCGGGGGCTGAGATTAGGGAAGGACAAAGGGTGCGGAGGCTCTGGCGTGAGGCATGGCCCAGAGGCTGAACAGATCTGACCCACAAGCATCTGGGACCACCTCAAGATGGACCAGGAGAAGGCTAGGTCCGGCAGATCTTGCTTACTGAAGTCTCCAGCACATCACTGGGTGCACACAGAGGGACCCAGAGATAGTATCTACTGATTTGTTCACTTACCACATATTGAGCACCTACTATGTGCAATGTAGTATTTTGGGATCTGGGAGGGAATACAGCGATAAAAGAGGCAGACAAAAAGCCTCTCTTGCCCTGAGATGAGAGGCACACAAACACTTACATACAGTCACATATTCAGGAAACACAGACACGCAAACACTTATTTGAACACACTCTGCAAACATATACTCCACAAACACAGACCCACACATTCTGCAAATTAACACACATACAAACACATACTCAGCAAATGCAAACACATGCAAACATCCACAAATACAGATACACACAAACTCACACTCTGCAGCAATACAAACACATACTTAGGAAACACAGACATACACACACTCATCCAATGCAAACACACACAAACAACACATATAAACACTCAACCAGTGGAAGCACAGCCACATATTTCCAAAACCAAGGGATGTCCAGTTGCTCACAAATTATAATCTAAAACAAATTATTCTCCCAACACAACACATAGACATACACACCCGTACCCACTGCAGGGATGTTTTTCTCATCCGATTCTCCCCCTAGAATGTCAGCTCTATGAAAGTTGAGATTTGTGTGTCTTTTATTTTTATTTATTTATTTATTTATTTATTTATTTATTTATTTATTTTGAGACAGAGTCTCACTCTGTTGCCTAGGCTGGAGTGTGGTGGAACAATCTTGATTCACTGCAACCTCTGCTTCCCAAGTTCAAACTATATTCATGCCTCAGCCTTCTGAACAGCTGAGATTATAAGCATGTGCCACTATGCCCAACTAATTTTTTTTTTAATTATTTTTACTAGAGATGGGGTTTCACCAGGTTGGCCAGGCTGGTCTCAAACTCCTGGGCTCAAACAATCCTTCTACTTCGGTTTCCCAATGTGCTGGGATTACAGGTGTGAACCACCATGCCTGGCTGAAATTTTCATGTATTGTTCACTGCTGCATCCCCAGAATCTAGCACACAGTAGGTGCTCAATAAATGTTTGTCGAATGAATGGATGAGTTAAGGGAGTGTTCACAAGCAACACACATTCGCAGAAACTTCAGAACTTGTTGAAGTTCTGAACTGGTTGACACTGGTTAAGTGTTTATATGTGTTGTTTGTGTGTGTTTGCATTGGATGAGTGTGTGCATGTCTGTGTTTCCTAAGCATGTGTTTGTATGGCTGCAGAGTGTGAGTTTGTGTGTATCTGTATTTGTGGATGTTTGCATGTGTTTGCATTTGCTGAGTATGTGTTTGTACATGTGTTAATTTGCAGGCCAAACACACCTTCCTTATACACACACACGCACTCCCCTCATATACAGATACCACAGCTTAAGCCACAAGCTCAACATAAAAGCAAACACAAGGATATATACACACCAGCCCAAGTTGGCCAGCCTTTGGTCAGCAGGAGTGTGGGCGGGACGGTGGGAGGTCCCGCCCCTGCATTAAGCCATGCCCCTTTCAGTTGCCAGTTTCCTGGAGTGGATCCTGAGGTGTCTTATCAGCCTCTACACCCCAATCCAGCTAACAGGTGAGGGGCTGAACTCGGGGAGGCAGGAAGGGGACACTCTTGTCTCCATAGACGACTAGCTGTCCCTGCCTTGTGGTTTTGGGCCCCAGTGACAGAACGTGAGCCCTGCCACACCACGCTTGGTCCCAAAGGCCCAGCTCTGGGTGGCCCCTAAGCCGATTGTGGGCCGAGAGAAGGTGACCGAGAGAAAGGCCGGCAGAGAGTGAGAGAGGGAGGAGGGAGGCCGCATAGAAGAGAAGGAGGAATTACTGAACAGCAGAGGGGGATTGGAAGAGCTAGGGAGGTCCCCTTCATTCTGAGAAAAAAAGGGGTCCCTTGAGGACTAAAAAGGTGGGAGATCCTGCTGGATGGGGGAGGGCGACTGTGGTCTAAGCTTGGTGGGGGTGGCACTTGGTGGGGGACAGAGAGGTCAGGGTTCTGATGGGAGGGGGGTTCCTAGGATGGAGGCAGGCCCTGGTGGTCTCCTGGGATTTGAATATCCTTGGCCACTGCCCCAGCCTCCTCCTCAGCTGCATTTTCCCTACTCTGTCTGGCACTGCTTCTTGGGTATGCATTGGGTGGGCGCCACCCTAAGCTCACAGAAAGGGATGGCTGAACCCCACACTATGCCTGCCAGCTCTTATCTCAGGTGGACATGGCCTGCAGGGTCCACATGCAACCCATCGGCCTGACCTGGGTTGTGCAACTGACCCTGACATGGATCCTGCTAGAAGCCTGTGGAGGGAGCCACCCACTCCAAGCCAGGTCCCAGCGACACCATGGGCTGGCAGCTGATCTGGGCAAAGGCAAGCTGCACTTGGCAGGTGAGCACCCCAGACCCTGCCTCACCACCAACACCCAGAAACCCACACCTACCCTGCCATGGCAATGTTAGAATTTCCTTATGAGAGGGGCCTAGCAGGCCAAGAAGGTGGGAGGCAGGGATAGTGCTGAAGAATGGTGGATAAGAATTAGACTGCCTGGGTTCAAATTCAGCTCTGTCACTTTGTAACTATGTGACCCTGAGGAAGTCATCTAACCTCTCTGGGTCTCACATGGACCCCCAAAAAGAGAGAAATAACAAACATACCTCACAAAGCTGTTGTTAAGATTAAGCATATGAGCATATGAGCAGGGCTCGGTGGCTCACGTATGTAATCCCAACACTTTGGGAGGCCGAGGTGGGCAGATCACTTGAGGTCAGGAGTTTGAGACCAACCTGGCCAACATGGTGAAACCCCTGTCTCTACTAACAATACAAAAATTAGCTGGATGAGGTGGCATGCTCCTGAAATCCCAGCTACTTGGGAGGCTGAGGCACCAGAATTGCTTGAACCTGGGAGGTGGAGGTTGCAGTGAGCCAAGATCGTGCCACTGCACTCCAGACTGGGCGACAGAGCAAGACCCTGTTTCAAAAGAAAGAAAGAAAAATAAAGGAAAAGGATTAAGCACAAGTGTCACTACCAGGCACATGACAAGTAAGTTGATTATTATAAACAATAAATGATCATTACTACTTGAAGCTGCATTTGCATTCCAAAGGAAGGGTCTTAAGTTATGAGTTTGTGAGGATTGATGTAATTGGGATCTCCCTTGTCCAGGGGATCCCCAGCCCTCAGTTCCCAAACCTTATCTGAGGATCCAAGACCCTGGCTCACAGGGTTCCCCTTTGCCAGGAACTTGTTGTCCCTCAGAGATGGACACAACAGAGATATCGAGCCCTGGGAACCATCCAGAACGCTGTGGAGTGCCGAGCCCCGAGTGAGTACAGCACCCTCCACTGTTTTCTCCCGTACTTTGCCCATTGCCCTGGAACTTCCCTCGGGTCCTAACCCATCCAACCCTCTCTCTCCCGATGTCTAGGTGCGAATCCTTCCTGGAACACCTCCAACGTGCCCTTCGCAGTCGCTTCCGCCTGCGGCTATTAGGGGTACGCCAAGCACAGCCACTCTGCGAGGAGCTCTGCCAGGCCTGGTAGGACACGTGGGGGCAAGGGGCGTGGCTTGACTTGGGCGGGGGAGAGGGCGGAGCCTGCAGTTTGATTGGCCTTCTGTGTAAAGGGGAGTGGCCTCCAACAGGGCCAAGGTTTAAGAGATGCAGCTTAATGTTTAGAGCCCAGGTAGAAGCCCCCAGTTTTTAAGATACCTGCCATATGGCGATGTGGCTTTTCATAGCCCTGAGATTTCTTTTTTTTTTCCTTTTTTTTTTTTTTTTGAGATGGAGTCTCACTCTGTCCCCTAGGCTGGAGTGCAGTGGTGCAGTCTCGGTTCACTGCAACCTCCACTTCCCAGGTTCAAGCGATTCTCCTGCCTCAGCCTCTTGAGTAGCTGGGATTACAGGCGCACACCACCACGCCTGGCTAATTTTTGTATTTTTAGTAGAGACGGGGTTTCACTATGTTGGTCAGGCTGGTCTCGAACTCCTGACCTCGTGATCCTCCCGCCTCGGCCTCCCAAAGTGCTGGGACTACAGGTGTGAGCCATCGCACCCGGCCTTTTTTTCTTTTTTTTGAGATAGAGTTTTGCTCTTGTTGCCCAGGCTGGAGTGCAGTGACACGATCTCGGCTCACTGCAACCTCAGCCTCCTGGGTTCAAGTGATTCTCCTGCCTCAGCATCCCTAGTAGCTGGGATTACATGCTTCCGTCACCATGTCCGGCTAAGTTTTGTACTGTTAGTAGAGACGGTGTTTTACCATGTTGGCCAAGCTGGTCTCTAACTCCTGACCTCAGGTGATCTGCCTGCCTTGGCCTCCCAAAGTGCTAGGATTACAGGGGTGAGCCACCATGCCCAGCCAGGCCCTGAGATTTCTTAAGGAGTGAGTCCTCCTGATTGAAAAGAGAAGGTAAAAGGGAGGGCGCCTGTAATCTCTGTCATTTGAGAGGTCAAGATAGGAGGATTGGTTGAGGCCAGGAGTTCAAGATCAGCCTGGACAACATGGCAAGACCCAGTCTCAACAAAAAATTTAAAAATTAATCAGATGTGGGCCAGACGCAGTGGCTCACGCATGTAATCCCAGAACGTTGGGAGGCCAAGGTGGGCGGATACCCTGAGGTCAGGAGTTTGAGACAAGACTGGCCAACATGGCGAAACACTGTCTCTACTAAAAACACAAAAAAGAGCCAGGCATGGTGGTGGGCGCCTGTAATCCCACCTACTCGGGAGGCTGAGGCAGAATTGTTTGAACCTGGGAGGCAGAAATTGCAGTGTGCAGAGATTGGGCCACTGCACTTTAGCCCAGGAGACAGAGCAGGACTCCATCTCAAAAAAAAAAAAAAAAAAAAAAGTACTAATCGGACATGATGGTGTGTGCCTATAGTACCAGGTACTTGAGACACTGAGGTGGAAGGATTGCTCGAGCCCGGGAGGTCAAAGCTGCCATAAGCCATGATTGTGCCACTGCACTCCAGTTTGAGTCACAGAACAAGAACCTGTCTCAAAAATAAATAAAAGGAAAATGAAAGAGTGGGAAAATATGAGGGACTGGCCCGTAACAAATGGTCTGAGGTCTGCAGGGACGAGGCCAGTTGTGACATGGCCCAAAGTATGGAAAGATCTGATAGAATATGGGGTGGGATGACATCTGGAGAGATGAAATCTGGAGTTAGCAGGGGAGTGGTTCTAAGAGGCAGGGCCTGGATCCCAGCGGGGGACATATACTGAACACAGTCTAGAAGAACCGGAATCCCGCTGGCATGTAGCTACAAAAGCTTTACCCACCTCTCCATTCGCCATCTCCAGGTTCGCCAACTGCGAAGATGATATCACCTGTGGCCCGACTTGGCTCCCACTCTCAGAAAAAAGGGGCTGTGAGCCTAGCTGCCTTACCTATGGACAGGTGAGTGTGAGGCAGAAGGTGAAGAGAAGAGACTGAGATCCTCTCTACCAAGTTCTTTATTTTTTTTCTGAGACGGAGTTTCATTCTTGTTGCCCAGGCTGGAGTGCAGTGGCACAATCTCTGCTCGCTGCAACCTCTGCCTCCCGGGTTCAAGTGATTTGCCTGCCTCAGCCTCCTGAGTAGCTGGGATTACAGGCATTCGCCACCATGCCCAGCTAATTTTTGTATTTTTAGTAGAGTCAGGGTTTCACCATGTTGGCCATACTGGTCTTGAACTCCTGACCTCAGGTGATCTGCCCGCCTCAGCCTCCCAAAGTGCTGGGATTGCAGGCATGAGCCACTGCCCCTGACCCCCACCAAGTTCTTTCTTACCTTGTCTAGACCCCAGAGACCGGATTGGCACTCCCCAGGTCCCTACTCCAACCCTTCCCTAGCCCAGCCTCCCATTGGGTTGCGCCCTTTGACCCCAAAAGCTCCCTAAGTCCAGATTTGCCCTTCCCAAGAAACCATCCCTGCTCTGGGTCCATCCACAGTTTACCATGGAGGACCCAGAAGCCCAGTCACCTTCTACAAAACCCCAGCCTTGATACAGACCTCTCTGCGCGCCCCGCGACTGCCCCAACCCTGATTCATCCCGCTAGGGCCCAGTAAGAACATTCACACTCCCCAAGGACCTGCCACCACTCTGGCCCCGCACACAGACTCCCAAACTGCACACTCCGCCTCTGACCCCAATCCCAAAGGAACTTACAGACTTTCCCTTCCCGAGGCCACGCCCCTGGGAGAAAGCCATGCCCCTCTGGACTCTGCCCACTACGGCCCTAACTCCACTTTTCCCTAGACCTTCGCAGACGGGACGGACCTTTGTCGCTCGGCTCTGGGCCACGCCCTACCGGTGGCCGCTCCTGGAGCCCGTCACTGCTTCAATATCTCCATCTCCGCGCTACCTCGTCCCAGACCAGGACGGCGGGCCCGGGAAACTCCCTCCTGGCGTTCCCGCCGCCCTCGCACCTCCATCCTGGACGCTGCAGGCAGCGGGAGTGGCAGTGGAAGCGGCAGCGGCCCCTAGCGGACGCGTGGCCCTCAGTTGGGGGAGGGTCCCTTCCCCCAGCCCTGCCCCTCAGAACACCCAGAACCCCACCCCTCGCCCTCTCGGCCTTCTATAATAGTTTTGAGATGTCTGTCCCTCCTCCCTGGAGCTCCAGAGACTCACCCCTCTCCGGGTTATCCCAGAAATGACCCAACTCTCTCTCTCACTTTTCCCTCTCCCCTTTGAATAAAGTCGCCAGCTAGAGCACGTGATGTGTGTGGCTGCTTCTTGGGGAAACAGGTGGGAAGGAGAATTGCCAGAAAGTAACAGATGTCTCACGTCTAATCCTCAGATCCTAGAAGCAGTGACTGATTCATACTATAGTGTAAATGATGGATGGCCTGTGCCCTAGAGCAGTCAACATAACTCGGAACACCCAGGTGTTGGAAATGGAGAGGGGGTCAGAACAGGGTCTGACAAGGGCAGGAGGGGTTCCTTCCCACTGTGTGCCACCAGGGCTCCCAAAAAGCTGCCTAACTTGTATAGGCCTCAAGACACACTTCAAGGCCGGGTGCAGAGGCTCGTGCCTGTAATCCCAGCAATTTCACAGGCCAAGGTGGTTGCATTGCTTGAGCCCAGGAGTTCAAGGCCAGGCTTGGCAATACAGTGAGAACCTGTCTCTACCAAAAAAAAAAAAAAAAAAAGAAAATTTTAAATTGGCCCAGTGTAGTGGTGCGTGCCTGTATTCCTACCTGCTCAGCAGGCTGGGGCAGGAAGATCACTTGAGCTCAGTTCAGGGCTGCAGTGAGCCATGATCACACCACTGTACTCCAGCCTGGGTGACACAGTGAGAGCCTGTCTCAAATAAAAAATAATAAGACCTGCAGACACAGAATACCAAACTGGCCATGGTAGTATGTGCTGAACTCCCAACTACTTGGGAGGCTGAGGTAAGATCACTTGATCCCAGGAATTCGAGGCTGCAGTAAGCTATAATCCTGCCACTGTACTGCAGCCTGGGCAAAAGCCAGACCCCAATTTTTTTTTTTTTTTTTGAGACAGAGTTTCGCTCTTGTTGCCCAGGCTGGAGTGCAATGGCAGGATCTCAGCTCACTGCAACCTCCACCTGCCAGGTTCCAGTGATTATCCTGCCTCAGCCTCCCTAGTAGCTGGGATTACAGGTGTCTGCCACCAAGCCCGGCTAATTTTTTGTATTTTTAGTAGAGACAGGGTTTCACCATGTTGGTCAGGATGGTCTCAAATTCTTGACTTCAGGTGATCAACCCACCTCGGCCTCCCAAAGTGCTAAGACTACACGCATGAGCCACCACGCCACGCCCTTTTTCTTTTCTTGCGACAGAGTCTAGCTTTGTCTCCCAAGCTGAAGTGTAGTGGTGCAATCTTGGCAAATGCAACCTCAGCCTCCTGGGTTCAAGTGATTCTCGTACCTCAGTCTCCAGAGTAGCTGGGATTGCAGGCACACACCACCACATATGGCTAATTTTTGTATTTTTAGTACAGATGGGGTTTCGCCATGTTGGCCAGACTGGTCTCAAATTCCTGACTTTGGTGATCCACCCACCTTGGCCTCCCAAAGTGCTGGGATTACAGACATGAGTCACCATGCCTGTCCAAGACCCCATATTATACATATACAGACTACAGAGTTTGGTGAGAATGACCCTGTGTAGTGTCCGCCTGTGTTCACAACCCAGCTCTACCACTTACTTATGCTGTAACTTCAGTTTCACACATTGCCCAGCTTGAGCCTCAATTTCTTCATCTTTAAAATGGGAATGTGGGCTGGGCATGGTGTCTCATGCCTGTAATCCCAGCACTTTGGGAAGCTGAGGCAGGCAGTGCATTCACTTGAGTCCAGGAGTTCAAGACCAGCCCGGCCAACATAGCGAAACTCCATCTCTACCAAAGATAAAAAAATTAGCCAGGCGTGGTGGCACATGCCTGTAATCCCAGTTTCTTGGGAGGCCGAGGTGGGATAATCAGTTGAACCCAGGAGATGGAGGTTGTGGTGACCTGAGATAGTACCACTGCACTACAGCCTGGATGAGAGAGTGAGACCTTGTCTCAAAAAGAAAAATTAAAATAAAATAAATAAAATAAAATGGAAATGAGTTCCTTTCACAGAACTGAGAAAGAATTCAGTGAGTTAGTACAAGTTTTTCTGCTTATCTAACACTGCATACCAAGCAACTCCAATATAGTGATGATAAAAAAAGTCACTAGCCTGGGCGCGGTGGCTCATGCCTGTTAAGTCCAGCACTATGGGAGGCCGAGGCGGGCGGATCACAAGGCCAGGAGATCAAGACCATCCTGGCTAACATGGTGAAACCCCATCTCTACTAAAAATACAAAAAATTAGCCGAGCGTGGTGGCGGGCACCTGTAGTCCCAGCTACTCAGGAGGCTGAGGATGGAGAATCACTTGAACCCGGGAGGCAGAGGTTGCAGTGAGCCGAGGTAATGCCACTGCACCCCACCCTGGGTAACAGAGCCAGACTCCGTCTCAAAAACAAAACAAAAAAGAACCCAGCACTTTTGGAGGCCGAGGCAGGTGAATCACGAGGTCAGGAGTTCAAGACCAGCCTGATCAACATGGTGAAACACCACCTATACTAAAAATACAGAAAATTAGCCGGGTGTGGTGGTGGTGCATGCCTGTAATCCCAGCTACTCAGGAGGCTGAGGCAGGAGAATCGCTTGAACCCAGGAAGCAGAGGTTGCGGTGAGCCAAGATCACGCCATAACACTCCAGCCTCCTGGGTGACAGAGCGAGACTCCATCTCAAAAAAAAAAAAAAAAAAAAAAAAAGTCACTATCTTTCATGCTTCTGGGGTTTGACTCAGTCCAGCCTGGCAGTTCTTCCTGAAGATCTGTCATGTACTTGCAGACAGTGGCTGGGGCTGGAATCACGTTGAAGTCTTCCTCGCTCACATATCTGCTAGCTGGCATTGGCTATTGTCTTCAACTTCTGCTGGGGCTATTTGCCAGAATATCTGCACATGGCCCCTCTGTGGCTTGGGCTTCCTCTCAACATGGCAGCTACGATCTAAGGGAAATGTCCCAAGAGAGCAAGCCAAGTGGGAGTTCAGTTTTGATGACTTAACCTTGGAATTAACACAGTGTGACATCTCTTTCTATTCACTACAGGGAGTCACTGAAGCCAGCTCATATTCAAAGAGAGGCATCATAGACTCCACCTCCAATGGGAGGGATGTCAAATAAAATGCTTAGAAAGTGTGGCACATAATTATCACTCAATGAATGTAGACACCGTCTATTATGATTGTTTCTTGTGGATGATGTTACATACTGGGTTATTGATGTTATAGACTGTGTTATTGTGACAAGGAAGAGGAACAAGCACTGAAGGAAGAAAAGTAAAGCAAGTCTTTTTTTTGTTTTGAGACGGAGTCTCACTCTGTCACCCAGGCTGGAGTGCAGTGGCACGATCTCAGCTCACTTGCAAGCTCAGCCTCCCGAGTAGCTGGGATTACAGGCGTCCGCCACCATGCCCGGCTAATTTTTTGTATTTTTACTAGAGACGGGGATTCACCGTGTTAGCCAGGATGGTCTCAATCTCCTGATCTCGTGATCCACCCACCTCGGCCTCCCAAAGTGCTGGAATTACAGGCATGAGCCACCGGGCCCGGCCCAAGTAAAGCAAGTCTTTAAAGGATCGCCAGTCAGATAATCAAGCTGTGGAGGACATTCCAAGTGAAAGGCCTGGAGATTTCATATTCTGGGAACTCTGAGCTGACCAGGAAGCCTGGGATAGACCATGGGAGATGGGGTCTGGTCCTGGAAGACACTGGATGCCAGGCAGAGGCATTTGAATCTGAGGATAGAGTGTGATGTACCAGGAGTGGTGGCTCACATCTGTAATTCTAGCATTTTGGGAGGCTGAGGCAGATGGATTCTTTGAGGTCAGGAGTTCCAGACCACCCTGGGCCACATGGTGAAACCTCATCTCTACTAAAAATTTAAAACATTAGCCAGGCATGGTGGCACACGCCTGTAGACCCAGCTACTTGGGAGGCTGAGGTGGGAGGATTGTTTGAGCCCAGGAGGTGGAGGTTGCAGTAAGCTGTCATTATATTGCTGCCCTCCAGCTGGGGCAACAAAGGGAGATGGTGTCTCAAAAAAAAAGAGAGCGATAGGGTGTGATGCAAGGTTTGGCAGCTCGTGGCTATAGTCTCAGCTACTTGGGAGGCTGAGGTGACGGTATTGCTTGACACCAGGAGTTTGGGAACAGCATGGGCACCACAGCCAGACCTCATCTCCAAAATACAAAAAGAAATTAGGCTGGACAAAATTAAGCAGGACAGCTCACACCTGTAATCCCAAGACTTTGGGAAGCTGAAGTAGGAGAATAGCTTGAAGCCAGGAGTTCAAAATCAGCTTGGGCAACAGTGAGACCTCATCTCTACCAAAAAAAAAAAAAAAAAAAACCCACACACACACAAACAAAAAAATTAGCAAGGTGCTATAGTTTGTGCCTGTAGTCCCAGATACTCAGGACCTCATTTGGAAAAGGAAATATGTGAGAGCCATAGGTTTTTTGGTTTTTTAGACAGAGTCTCACTCTTGTCACTCAGGCTGGAGTGCAGTGGCATGATCTTGGCTCACTACAACCTCTGCCTCCCAGGTTCAAGTGATTCTCCTGCCTCAGCTTCCTGATTAGCTGGGATTACAGGCACCTGCCACCACACCTGGCTAATTTTTATAGTTTTAGTAGAGACGGGTATTTGCCATGTTGGCCAGGCTGGTCTTGAACTCCTGACCTCAGGTGATCCACCTGCCTCAGCCTCTCAAAGTGCTGGAATAAGAGGCATGAGCCACCATGCCCAGCCTTGAGTTTTTTTGTTTTTGTTTTTGAACAGGGTCTCACTCTGTTGTTCAGGCTTTGAAGTGCAGTGGTGCAATCTTGGCTCACTGCAGCCTCAACCTCTCAGGCTCAAGTGATCCTCCTACCTCAGCTCCCCAAGTATCTGGGACTACAGGCGCTCACCACCACACCCAGCTATTTTGTGTGTGTGTGCGTGTGCGTGTGTGAGATGGAGTTTTGCTCTTTTCACCCAGGCTGGAGTGCAATGGCACGATCTCGGCTCACCGCAACCTCTGCCTCCTGGGTTCAAGCGATTCCTCTGCCTCAGCCTCCCGAGTAGCTGGGATTACACGTATGGGGTTTCTCCATTTTGGTCAGGATGGTCTTGAACTCCTGACCTCCTGATCCGCCCACCTTGGCCTCCCAA